ATCTATTGATCGGATCGTCTACAGCAATCTCTGAACCTGGCGATGGAGTCAGCTCTCCGTAACTCCAGTGTCTGAAGACCAGCCAGGCGGTGGACCTCAGAGTTTCTAGTCCGCGATGGACTATTGACGATCATCTTCAGGATCTTATTCTGCATCCTTTGTAATTTGAGATGGTGGCTTTTTGTGCACCTCTCCCAGATTGGCATCCCGTATTCTATTACGGGAAGGATGATTTGTTTGTAGACAGCAAGCTTATTTTTCAGGGATAGAGTAGACCTCCTGTTGATGAGTGGATACAGTGATCTTATCAAGATGTTACACTTGGTTTTGGTTTTTGTCAACGTGCTCTCTGAAAATCGGCTTGCTGTCTAGTGTTAAGCCGAGGTAGACTACCTCTTTCGACCATTCCACTACTGTACCGTTCAGGCAGATCTTATTATTCACCGACGGAACAAGTTTGGGAAATTTTGATTGTGGAAATATGATGACCTGGGTCTTTGCCGCATTGACACGGATCTTCCAGCTGTTGAAATATTCAGACAGGACGTCCAGGCCTCTCTGAAGTTTGGCAGTCCGATGACCCTACCCTTGAAGACGATGAATGTGTCATCTGCGAACAGAGACAACGATCCACCATCAGGGAGAGCCGACATATCGGAGGTGAACAGGTTGAATAGAATGGGACCAAGGATGCTTCCTTGTGGAACCCCGGCACCGATGTTCAAAGGATCCGATGTGATGCTATTCAGAGAGACTCGGAACGTCCTGTCCGATAGATAGTTATTTATTATCTTCACTAGGAAGATTGGAAGACCATAGTGCTGCAATTTGAACACCAGGCCATCATGCCAGACATTGTCGAACGCTTTTTCAACGTCCAACAATGCCATGGCAGATGTTTTCGAAACAGGCTTGTTCCGTCTGAGAATGTTTGTTACTCGAGTCAGCTGGTGGACGGTCAAACGACCTTTCTGAAAACCAAACTGTTCCTCGAGTAACAAGTTGTTTTCTTCGGCAGATGTTAGGAGCCGGTGGTACACTGCTCTTTCAAACAGTTTTGATAACCCTGAGAGAAAGCCGATTGATCGATAACTTGAAGGAGAGGAGAGGAGAGGTTTCCGGATGGATATGACTTTAGCTGACTTTGAACACGAGGGGAAGTAGCCAAGTCGGAGGCACAGATTTAAAATCAGTGCCAGATGGTTGTAGAATCTGGAGCTCATGTGTTTGAGTTCCAGATTCAGGATGCTGTCGAAGCCTGGGGCCTTCATGTTTTTAGATGATTTGATATAGGCCAACAGTTGTCAGCCGTAATCTCAGATTCCTCGGAAAAATATTGGGAATCTGATGGAGGTTGATTGCGTTTTCAGCAACCTCAGCTTCGTGAGGGCTGACGATGTGTTGTCGAAGATTATGGAAGCTGACGAAGTGTTGACCTATCGCGGTAGGTCTTGGAATGGGCCTTGGCTTATTTTTAAGATTTTTGGTTAGTTTCCAAAAGGGCTTTGCACAATCTGGGAGAGAGTGGATCCTGTTAGCAAAGTCCTGATTTCTGAGGTCCACCATCCTGGCTTGGATGGTTTTTGTTAGGCGATTACAGTGGGTCTTAAAGACAGGCAGACCAGAGCGTTGGTACTGCCTTCGGATGGTGTTACGGAGTCTTATAAGGTCTTTGGTAGATCTGTCAAGGTTCAGAGTATTGCTCACCTGTCTTGATACTGGCACGTGTTGTTCCCTGGCCCTGGATTTCTCCTCCTTGATGGAATGCAGACAACTGATCCCAGCTGACACAATGATAGTTGCGTCGGGAAGCTTGGAAACGGTTGACGGATGAGCCCATAGTGATCCGCACTCAGCTCCTGGCGGGTCACAGGTTGCGAGATGTTTGGCGTTCAGGTCGCCATGATGAATTTTCTACGGCATCGTGACGGGGCCGACGGGTGTGAAGACTTCCACCCCCAATGCTTCAACCATTTTCAGCAGGAAACTCGGTAGCAGCCGGCAGCAGATGTTGTTCCTGGTAGCGATGGCCACTCCACCACCCACAGAGCTTGTCCGATTGAGCCTCACGAACCGGAATCCAGGAATAAATACGTTCATCTACGGTTTCAGCTGAGTGTCGGTGATGATAGCGATATCGATGCTATGTTCGTTGAGGAAGTCAACGAACTCGATAATTTTTTTCTTGAGCGAGTAAGCGTTCTAGTTTGCGATTTTGATGAGCTTACGGTCCATAACTGAGCATGAAGGTAGCCACAGCTTGGAGCTGGTCGGATTTGTTCTTGATGGTGTTGACAATGTCGTGCATCTTGAGGAAGAGATCTTTAAATCCGCTGCGGTGAACCACGAACCATCGTTGATTTCGGGCTGCGGTAAAGACGGTCCATCCTGACGCCAGTTTAGCCCAGAGGCTGTGGGGAGATCCTGTGGCTGTGGAGCAGCATTCGTCTCCGGTAATTAGAGCTTGAGCAGCAGTAGCAGCGGTTCGAGCAGCAGCCAATCGTTGATTGAGTGGCAGCGGTGGAAACACTGGAATCGGTCGTCGTGGAACCGGTGGGATGTTCTGATCATTTGTTTCTGGCACCTTCTTGCGGCCGAGCTGGTTTCTCGTCGATGCTTTCTTCCGGATCTCGATGTACAAGGTGCGCTTCGGGCAGGCCTTGCTTGTAGCTTTGTGAGCAGCACCACAGTTGGCGCAAATAGGATCGGCTTCATCGAGTCTATCGCAGGCGTCGGTTTTGTGTTGTTTGCCACACTTGATGCAGTGGCTGACCATATGGCAATTCTTCGTTCCATGCCAGTTCGAGCATTGCGTGACTCCACGACTGACTGGCTTGTATCGCTCCCACTCACTATGTTTAACAGGACGCGGATGCCCTGGAGGTCCATCAAAGTTGTTGAGTTCTTGTCAAGGTGAAACAGGTATAGCTGGTCGCGGTACTTGACGGCCTTGTTGTGGCAGGCCATCTTGTGAATTTGGACCGGCTTCAGTCCATTAGCCACCAGGCCAGCTCTTCCAAGAGGACGCCTGTGTCTATGCCGTACAGTCCTCACAGTACCTCCTTGAACGGCTTAACAGCCTCGATGTCGAGGGAGAAATACCATAAGGAAGTGATACTCAGAATAAGCGCCGTGATTGCCGTACAAATCAAATGGGAATCACTTCACCGTGACGACAAGTGACAAGTTTTCACCGTGAAGTGACACCCGTAATAAGGCCCGAAGAGTAGGTGGATAGCTGATAGAAATTAACTGTGCAAATATCTTAAGTAGAAATCATTTCTAGATTCTAACACTGGACTGGTGCCTCGACTGATGCAAGCCCGATTCCAACGACCTATTAAATTTATCCGAACATGAAAAAGACAGAGAGTTTGCAGTAAAGAAGTGTGAAATATACTGCAATAGGGATCACCATTCTTACCAAGGTTTTGTTATAATAATTTTAAGTTGCATGAATGTTTATAAAAATAAATTGAACTAGTATGACTGATTTGCAATGGTTAATTTAAACATTGAAGAAAAAACGAACAATCCAATTTTTACAATATTTTCTAAATCAATACTCGACTTTAAATACTTTTTACCCAATATTCGCTCTTCATGAAACAGTTACATTTCACTTAATACGATGTCTTTGCAAGGTATTCAAAATTGGATCAAGCAAAGAACTTAATTTATCCACTTTATGTTGAGTTGTTTCGTCTTTAAAATTTTCTGAATAGGACCATAAATTGAATTTAATCTCCGTTGAAGCATACCACCAGCAGTGTTGTTAATTTAAAAAAAAGAGGAATCAACATTCCTGATTAAGCAACGGCTACTAATAAACCCACTAATGATAATAACTTAGTTTCATAACGATCATTTAAAAAGTGACCTTCATAATCTGTTGATTTGATTGCAATCTAAAACTTGTGTCCCGAAATACTAATTTACATTGTGCAGAAATGATGAACTATTAGTTGAACCCATTCTAGGCTAAGCGTGTCCATAAGAGGGTCAGCTTATGATATCTTTTAAAACCACGAATAAACAACAAATGAAGTGAGAAAATATCATTCCACTACTATATAAAATGCATAAATTTTGTGCTGTCGTCAAATAAGTAACGTTGAATTGTAGCAAATTGATTTTTTTTTTCTTTGTAAACTCACCGGGGAAAGTTCAATGGAGGCTCATTATGCGCAAACGGAATGAAATGAATAACGGATTTAATTTCAGTTTTGCTTTCATCGGTTGTGCCAGGCAGTGGCACAAATGTATTTAAAACTTTTCTTTTGCAAAATTGCACTTTCGACAGTTCAGTTAGTTTTTAATTATGTTGCTTCCGTATATTTGCGTGCACTCAGTTCGGATGTCTGTTGTCAATTTGGTCTTTATAATTACTTCAATCACTTTCACGATTCACGGAAAATTATTCCTCATCTCGGGAAATCGATTCACCATCGACGACGGTTGGCATCGAGTTGATCCAAATCATTCCCTTTTTCGAATCATTTGCAGCCAATTACATCCCACTCGACGAATGACGCTTGAAATGGGTGAGCTGACAGGGCAAATATTGATTCCCATTTCGCTTCATTCAGCAGTGATTGAAAACGCATATCGTGCGTATGCTTTTTCGTATTTATCTTCCGATACATCCACTTAACGATCGAGTGAAAGAAAATGTGTCATGGGATTGAAAATTTATCCTTCAAGCACGTGGCATGTTACAATGGAGACTGAATTCGACTCGATCTTGAAACTTGGGTTGGTAAATTTAACAAGAATCGTTCAAATAAAAATAAAATATTCTATATTGATCTCTGTAACAGAAGCGTAAAAACTGGAACTACGGAATTCAACAATCTCCTCATAATTTGACGAAAACTATCATTTCACACCTTCTCGCCAGATAGGCCCACGACACCTGAAGAGCATCATCATCGTTGAACGATTAAAACGAACAGTCAGTCACCATTGTTCAATTCATTCGGTAGGACAAGCTCTGCAGCATGAACATTTCGATAATAAAGTGCCTGCTCGTACTGGTCGTGTTGGAAGCTTGCACCGCAAACTGCACAGATTCCTCAATAATAGACGTTCACGTGCGCGAGAAACGTTGGCTGACGTTCAGTCCTTATGGTGGTTTAGCAAAGATATTGCTAGGATTTCTCGTTCCCGTTCAGTTCACAGACTTCAAACTTGTTAGAAATATAGTCAATACTTTGAACCTACAAGCCAATTACAACATCCCATCGTCCATCATTTGGCCAATACCGCAGAGTTACTTCAAGAACCGCCTAAATAACGACTTTGTGGACAACAGCCGCCGGGATCTGTACAAGATGCTGGAGAAAATGTTCGATTCCTATGGAACCAATGGACGGGAATGTGTTCTGAAAGCTATCTGCGAAGTTGCCGAAGCGCCCCTCGATCACAACGGAATGTTTGGCGAAATCTTGGACGTCATGCTCACGTGAGTGACGAATCTGAATTGCGATTTACATATATAGTTTTATTTTTACTAAACCAACTTCAATCTTAGGCCATACAAAACGGATCAAATCGATGAAATCTACAAAGCGGCAAGGATTAGTGGGCTAAACGGTAGAAACTGCAGTACAATCTACAAACAGTGTCCGCCCGGTTCAGGCCTGCTGGAAAAGATGTCCCTTCTTGACATCGTGTGATAAGCTGCAAAACATTCATGGAAAACATAATTTAATGAATTTAAACAGTTATTGTAAAATCTTCAAACTGCCCACTCACTCACGCGTGTATCCTGTACATCTCTAGTCGACTTTTTGTATTGCCTTGTTAAAGGTCCGCCGCCATGAACCCCTGGGTCTGCCTCTGTTGCGATGTCCTGCCGGGTTCCACACTCATAAAATAAATCAAATACCCAGTGGAAAATACCCATGTGAATTTTACATAATTTTCATGTGATCCCATGATTGGAAATCCAATAAAATCTATATGAATTTATGTTGTTATGTGATATCCAGATAAAAATCATTAATTTTGCTATTGGAAAAATATTATTTGCGTTCCTAATAGGAACTATGTGAAAACTTTTTCAGTGTTATCCAGGGCTTGCTAGCAGATTTCGTCACTCAAAAAAATTGTCACATAAATTTCACTGGAAAAAACACGTAACCTTCAGGTATTGTAAATTTTCTTAAAAGTACATGACGTTAATAAAATTCATTACAAATCATATTAAAAGCAATGTGATAAGCTTCAAAGCTTAGATGAAATATATATAAATTTCAAGTGAATTTCATGTAAGATAATTTCACTTGGATTCTACATGAATTTATAGTGTGAAAATTTCTGAGTAGTGATAGCATAAACAAAACCTAATATGGCGTCCGAACGGTGCATTGCTGACGACCGGTTGCTAGATTTGCAAATTCAATTGGACTTGTTTAATTTTCTGAATAGTAAGTTGTTTTATTTTCGTCATCATACAGCATTTACTAATCATATATTTTTTGTAGAACGAGGAATCGACGAGTTTGATTTTCTTACCATCTGCTGGTAAGAAGTGCAGCTGGCTGGGGGCGGCTGGCATTTGCATTGCATTGGATTGTAAGTTTTTTTGTGTGTGTATAAAATTGATTAAACATGTTCACATGTTCATTCATGGCTGTTCGTTAACTACGTAAACAGTTTTTTGAATTCATTACCCCCTCCCCCCCCCTCCTCCTGCGTAGACAATTATCCGTACAAAATTATTAAAATTTGTATGGGCCGTGAATAATTGCCAACCCCTCGGCCCCCCTAAGCTCTCTACGTATTTTATGAACAGCCTATAAATAGATATAAGAAACCATCTGCATTAAGCTGAATAATAAAAAAAAATAAACAAGTATCTATCCAGTCATTTTTATTATTTCGAAAATCATTTTAGAACGCCTAACAACAGTTTGGATGCTATGAAGAAATTTACTAAAATTTAAGTGAAAGTGTAATAAAATTCACTTAGAAAGTACTATAAAATCTATGATGCTTTCTAGTGGATTGGGGGAAGATCTTTTCACTTTGAGTAATTTTCACTTAGATGTTACATGAAAATATAGTGAAATTTACGTCAAAGGCCTATACTACCTATTACAGTTTTATGTGGATTGAAATTAAAACTTTAGAACCGATCTACATATGAAAAACGTAAAATTTACGTGGAAAACTAGATGGAAAAAATCTATATATGTTTTCATGTAACATCTAAGTGAAAATTTTCTGAGTGTAGCTCTATTCCGGCCTATCCACTTACACGGTTAGAAAAAAGTACCCAACGGTCGATTCACTTTTACCTACTTTTGACTAGTTTGTCTCCTTTTCTCCTTCTAATGTTGCGGAGGAGCAAAACCACCCAACAGGATTAGCTTTACCTACTATTGGGTTCCTGCACTATAGTGCCGAGCTTGGTGCCGAGATGAGTGAAAACAACTTACTTTTGGGTACTTTTTCCTTACCGTGTAGGCACTTAAAATTCTGTTGATATCGGCTTCTGGTGACATTCGAGATCCAGTTGTGAGGCCACCAGGAATGAATTATACACCGACTTGCAGCTTTTTCTGTTCTTTCTGTGTTCTCCGTTGATTCACACTATGTCTCGCTGGCGGTTAATAACACAGATGTCACGTTTGAATTGAAAATTCGAATTAGAATTATTATTTATTTTCTTCAGAAAATCTGTTTATTTATTCCATTTTGTGTTTGTTACAAGCACTTGATTTTTTCTCTATGTTTTGTTACAATAAATCAGAAGTTATAGCTTACTAATTGATTTTTATAAACTGAGGATCATGCAAGGGGTTGGTCACTCTACACAGTGTGCCAAAACCAAACTTGAGCACACCCGGGTGCAATCATTGACGCTGTTTGGCACATGGCTACAATTTTTATTATCTTTAAAGTTACAGGCAGCACTGCTGGGAATCCATTCCACGAAATACCCGCTGTTTTTAATCTGTGCCTTCACAGGGTGTCGACTCAAAGTCGAAAATAAAATTCCCTGACTTTCCCTGACTTTCCAGTCGGTTTTCAGAAATATTCCAGTCATCAAAACTTCGTTATTTTAACCTAAGAAGCTACAACGTGATGTGCTTTATTATACCGTAGTGTAAATTAAGGTTAGTTTAAAATGAGCAGCAGGGTAAGTTTTCAAAGATATCAAGAATAGCATACTCATGGCACGTAGTACAGAACTTGATACTAATACAATTTTTACAGAACATATGACCGACTACCTACGAAGGATGTGAATAGGCCTAGGGCTATAAATACATATTATAATATAATAATGAATAACTACTGCTCACTATTCATTACTAAGTAATAATAGAAATATTTAATCAATGTCACCAAGCTCTCAATTTGTGTTCATAATTTCACAGCCAAATAAAAATCAACCCGTAGACGATCCTTTCTCTTAACATATAAATTATTGTAAAATAGCAGAGCAGTGATTATTCTTGCTTTGGTAACCGAACCTGAGGATGCACTGCTCATGCATTAGTCAGTTTCGTACTCTCTGGAACTCCATATGACAACCACAGACATGGCAAAATAATTTAAGTTTAATTATCATTAACATTTTATTCTCTCATTGAGTTCACATTACAACGAGAAATTGCAAGTTGAATATGTGTTGATTTTCATTTTCGGATTACTTTTAAAAATGTTTATCATTTGAGCAGAACAATTTTCTCCTGCAAACTCTCGGCTTCTTTTTGAGCATCTTGAGTTTTCGGAATCGAGAGCTTCTTTCATACGATGGTCCTTGTCTACATGGAAAGCGAATGCGATTTTTCGAACTCGCTGAATAAGTTTATTCAAAATTTGTAAGTTTTCCAACCCGCCTGCATGAGTAACACCATCATAGATCTGACGTCACGCTACGACTGAAGGCCCAAAAGCAATGTGGGTGGAAGCGGAACAGAAACGGAAAGTTTGACAATTGTCACATATAACATCAAGTTGCCTAACCGCATTCGATTTGATTCTAACTAGTTTTCAATCCGACAAATAGGCTTACGCTGTCATTGCGCTTGGGCCTTGACTCTTCCCTCATGTTTTCAAAAAGATATTCTGTATTTACCGAAAAACCGCTCTCTGCATTGGCGTTGCCATGCGATAAGCAGCAAATCATTTTCACAACCAATAATAGTTCTGAATACGCCGACCAATAACCTGGGCCAAAAAACGTCCAGTCGTTGCTTTTTGCGATCTTATTGATCAAATGTGCATTTACCTGTGCAATATTGTTCAGATGATCAATATTAATGAACCTTTCCATAATGCCTCTAACCATTTGAGACATCGCGTTGCACAAAAAAGACACCATAGGGTTGTCCGTCTGAAATTCGCATTGAAATGGCTCAACTTCGACACCAACTGATTTGAAGAAACCTAGCTTAATACCACGTTCAGACAACTACAGAGTTATAACATGTTATAACGGCTGTCAAATAATTGCAACACAGAAACCACCATCAAGATAGTGCTATAACATGTTATAAATCTGTAATCTGAACTTACTATTAGCCATCAGCAGCGAGTCATTCAATCCGTTTTTAACATCTTGGTAAGAGCTGACGTTTTGTCTTTCTGGACGCCTTGAATAAATTTTCGTATTTGCGGAGTAATTTGCGTATCACTGCTGTCAGAAATAAAGATTTTAGTAACCATGTTGAATAAATAAGTGACCAAATAGTGACTTAAAGTTGTAAAAATAGTGACTAAAAACTGACCTAAGAAAAGGTAAATCAAATAAATGTTTGATGTTTTAGACTTATTAAATTATTATCTCATAAACACTTATGAACCTTTAAAGCGACATATTCAATAGAAACTTTATAACCAAACCCACAGTATTAGTCACGGTGTCTATTAATTTCAAAAATCTGGAAAACCGGGAATCTTCAAGACATTTTTTGTTTCCCTAAAATACCTGGAAGTCTCAAAGAATTTGAAAAATTTCTTACTAAGAAAATTTAAAGAAAATAATTAATTTTAAAATAAAATCATTTATTTTTTCTTGATATTTTCATTCACACTTAGAACTTTTAAGATTCACAGTGGATTAATCTTCAGTAAGAAATAAATTTAAACAAATAATTTTTTTTTGGTTTCTGAACACCACTGTCTTTCTGTAACGTTTCCGAAATTTTTCTAAATTTATGGAATCTTTGTGCTCCCGAAATTTTCATGGAATTAGAACGAAATAATTAATATATTTCTATGATTTTCACTGAAGTTCTCAAGCTTTTTCTGAAGTTCTTAAAACTTCCCTTAAATTATCGGCACTAATTTAAAACGTCTTCAATAGTCTAGACTTTCTTGGTGTCTAAGTCTAAACGATCACTGAATTTCTTTAAAGTTATCTAGACTACCCTGAATTTATCAGTATTTTTTAAGAACCCGCATCTTTACTGAAATAAATTAATGTGCCTTGTAGTTTCGACAATGGTCCTTTAGTATTATAACCATTATTAACACTCGCTTTTCCCTGAACTTATCGATGCTTACCTGAAGTTCTCTAAATTTGTTTAATAATCCAGCAAATTTTCTGATACATATTCATAATTCCCTGACACTTCTGACGTTTTAGGATCAATCATAGAATTCTTGGAATACCCTATAATTCCACGGAACTCCTTGTAAGTTGCTGCAAATTTGCTGA